CGAGCCACCCATGGGTGGCTCGGCTTTAGCCGAGCCCCCCTTAGGGTTTTGGGTTTTGTCGTTTTTCCGTTGTATCCGTGATTCGGTTGTGCGGTTCATTTGTCTGGACTCGATTTGTTGACCTGATTTGGCAGTCGGTCCGAATCCTGATTTGGCAGTAAATCCACTTCTGAGTTCGAGTCCGAAACTGATCTTGATTCGATCGTGATTCGTCCGAGTCCGCTCTTGTTTGAATGACTCGTTGATTCCCCGAACTGTTGGCTTGATTCCACGCTCGAATGGATGTATTCCGTTGCTCGCGTGCGGTTCGTCAACCTCGTCGCCTCATTGGTTCGTCGGTTTGTGCCGAGCTATGCTAAGGGACCTATAAGCAATTTTATATGCCTACAGTGTATAGCACTCTGGCTATCATAATAAAAAACTTTGTTCCCCCGCTTCAGACCCAGCTCTTCCAGGCACCCGGTTAACCAAATCATCTCCTTGCTCGCCTCGGTCACTACGACATACTCTGCCTCAGTTATGGACAACGTCACAATCTTCTGCAAACGTGAGACCCAGCTCACTGCTGTCGACCCTAAGGTATAAACATACCCCGTGGTGCTTCGTCTCGTATCATGATCACCGGTAAAATCTGCATCCACGTATCCCTGCAGTACCAACTCCTTTCTCCCGAAACACAGTGACATATTCGTAGTCCCTCTCAGATATCGTAATATCCACTTCACGGCCTCCCAATGCTGCTTTCCTGGGTTGCTTGCAAACCTGCTCACAACTCTCACTGCATGGGCAATATCTGACCTCGTGCAAACCATTGCGTACATCAGACTACCAATGGCTGATGAATACGGCACTTTCCTCATGTGCTCCTTCTCTGCATCAGCCTTGGGTGATTGTTCACCAGACAACTTGAACTGGCTTCCAAAGGGCGTGCTAACGACCTTAGCATTCTGCATGTTGAATCTCTGAAGTACCTTCTCAATGTATTCAAACTAACTCAACTTCAACGTCCCTTCAGCCGCATCCTGGCTGATCCGCATCCCAAGAATCTGCTTTGCTACACCCAGATCTTTCATGGCAAATTCCTTTGCTAACTGCTTCTTCAGCTTGTTTATCTCCTGTAAACATGGTCCTGCAACTAACATGTCATCAACATATAGTAATAACACGATATAGCTGGACTCGAACCTCTTAAAGTAACAACAATGATCTGAATTGCATCTGCCATAGCCATTGTTCTACATGAAGTTATCAAACTTCTTATACCACTGCCGTGAAGCCTGTTTCAATCCGTATAAGCTCTTCTTGAGCCTACACACCATCTCTTCCTTTCCTTCTTCAATGAAGCCAACAGGTTGCTTCATGTAGATTTCTTCATCCAAGTCGCCATGAAGAAAGACAGTCTTCACATCTAACTACTCAAGGTAGAGATTTTCAGCAGCTACCAAGCTCAACACCACCCTGATGGTTGTGAGCTTCACAACGGGGGAAAATATCTCCGTATAATCCACTCATTCCCGCTGTTGGAACCCTTTCACAACTAATCTGGCCTTGTATCTCTTTCTTCCATCACTCTCCTGCTTGACTCGGTAAACCCACTTGTTATGCAAGGCCTTCTTCTGTGCAGGTAGCTGGGCTAACTCCCATGTCTCGTTCGAGTGGAGAGAATCCATCTCTTCTTGCATTGCATGCTCCCACTGCTGAGATTCGCTCACTTGCATAGCTTCCTCATAGCATTATGGTTCTCCATCATCTGTCAAAAGTAGGTAATCTAGTGACGAGAGATACCTGGGATTCGGTTTGGGTACCCTGGATGACCTCCTAAGCTCCTCGTCCTGGGTTGTCGGTTCTGCACCTGGAGTCTCCTCCGTACTTTGGTCAGAATTAACGTTGTCTCCAATATCTAGAAGTTCCTCCAAATCCATGTACTCAGATGCGTCTGCATCCGTAGTGCTGCTCCCACTGCTTTGGCCCGCCTTGGCATTTTCTCTGTCCTTGTACATCACTTCCTTATTGAATATGACGTCTCGGCTTCTGATGATTTTCCTGTTCTTCTCATCCCACAGACGATATCTGAACTCATCAATGCCGTACCTAATGAATATACACTTCAATGACTTAGCTTCTAGGTTGTTCCTGACATGGTCACTGATGTGGACATATGCCACGCACCCAAAGACTCTTAAGTGAGAGAGATTAACTTTCTTACCACTCCAAACCTCTTCCGGAATCCCAAAGTTCAATTGAATTGATGGCCCGTGATTTATCAAGTACGCTGCTGTATGCACCGCGTCCGCCCAAAAAGTTTTTGGTAGACCTGCATGTAGACGCATGCTCCTCGCACGCTCTGTCAGCGTTCTGTTCATCCTTTCTGCTACGCCGTTCTGTTGCGGCGTCCCTGGAGTAGTCCTCTCCAAACGAATCCCGTTCAGAGCACAGAACTTCTTGAACTCCTCCAAATTATATTCTCCACCATTGTCTGATCTCAGACACTTCACTTTCAGATCTGTCTTGTTCTCCACCATGGCTTTCCACTTCTTGAAGATGTTAAACACCTCTGACTTGTGCTTCATGAAGTATACCCACACCTTTCTCGAGTGATCGTCGATAAAGGTAACGTAGTATGCCGAACCGCCAAGAGAAGACACGCTAGCTGGACCCCATACATCTGTATGAACAAGCTCTAGCTTGTGAGCGTTAGGTGGTCTTCCACCCTTCAGAAAACTAACTCTCTTCTGTTTCCCGAAGATGCAGTCTTCGCAAACACCGACTTCCACCGAATCAATGCCGGTTAGCTTCCCTTCTGAGTGTAGAATCTTCGTGCCCTTCTCACTCATGTGTCCCAGCCTATTGTGCCACAGATCTGCACTCTCATTGCCTGCAGCAATCGCGAGGGTGTCACTCGCGTGTGAAGTTAGGTAGAGTGTACCGGTCTTGTTGCCTCGGGCAACCACCATTGTACCATTGGAGATTTTCCACGAATCTCCGGTGAATGTTGCAACATAGCCTTCTGCTCCGAGCTGACCAACCGAAATAAGATTCATCTTCAACTTCGGTACGTGTCTGACGTTCTTCAGAGACCACTTGGAGCCCTTCAACTGTATTTGCACGTCGCCTCTCCCAATTACACTACAAGGTTCATTATCCCCAAGTATACTTTTCCAAAGTCTCCTGCTACATAGTTTTGAAATAGCCTTCTATTAGCAGTGGCGTGGAATGAGGCTCCCGAATCAATAACCCATGAATCGGAATCGCTATCCATAGCGAGAATCAGCGCATCTTGCACAATATGAGCCTCCTGCTCATTTTTCTTCGGTGCTTTACAGGTAGAAGACATGTGGCCCTCCTGACCGCAGTTCCAACATTTCCCTTTGATAGGTCTTACCTTCGAGTTCGACCTTTTCTTCTTCGACTTCGATCGATTCCTGTTTTGGTTCCCCTTATTATGGCTTCTGCCTCTCTGCGACCTTTTCTTCTTCGACTTCGATCGATTCCTGTTTTGGTTCCCCTTATTATGGCTTCTGCCTCTCTGTTCGAGACTTAGGGCTGAACCTGAACCTTCCGATTCATTCGATTTTCTTCTAACCTCCTCGGATAGAATCATAGCTACCACCTCCTTCAGCTTCAACTTCTCCTTCCCTGCCGAGTTGCTTATTGCGGTCACGCAACCTGCCCAACTATCTGGCAACTGCGATAGTATCAATAGGGCCTGCACTTCGTCATAGAACTTGATGTCGACTGAGATAAGTTGATCAACAATCGTGTTGAACTCGCTGAGATGCATCGTGAATGAACATCCTTCTGTCATCTTGAGGTTGAATAGCGTCTTGACGAGATGCACCTTATTTGCAGCTGACGGTTGCTCGTACATAGTTGCGAGCGCTTCCATAAGCCCAACCGTCGTCTTCTCCTTTAATATATTGTGTGCTACAGATTTT